GAGATGTACTGTGTACATGTACCAATTCCCTACAATAAATGGAATCATTATGCACTGCAAACATACAGTAATAAAAATCAAAAAAATACACATGTAAGATGATTGATGGACTATAAATAGCGTGTGTCTGTCGGGAGCATTGAAGGCCTACCTGAGGCTCGTGATCATACATGCAGAGTGAGACAAGCCATCGTATTCAGCTGCATAAGCACGGGAAACAAGTATTTGGAGCTGGATTTGACCAGGGTTTGGGTTTAGCCAAGGAAGCCCAACAATGTGAGAAAGGGTTAGCAGAATTGAGGGAGCACACAAAACAGTGAGGACGGCAGTACAGATCTTCCTCCAGTAGGTGAAGCCATCCACCTGATTGCTCAACCCCAAAACCTTGGCCTTGGCCTCAACTCCTGACAGCCAAATGCACAGTCCTATTGACGTCACCTCCTAAACGTCTCATCTTGTTTTTTAGTTGGATTAAACTACTGTAATTTTCTCTTCCACTCTTTTATGATTCCTCTCACTACAGTCAGAATTGAACTTTTAGAAAATAGAAGGCCTGTCATTTAGCCCCACTTACAATCATCCAATGATTTCTCATTGCTCCTAATGTGAGTCCCAAATATGACTCAACAGACCCTGGCCTGGGTAATTATCCAGCTCATTTGGCTTATATTTTCTTTCATTCCCTTTGTGCCAGCCCCGCTCTCTTCTTTCGATTCCTCTTCAGAGTAGGGTGCACATACCCCAGGGAGTGCCCCAAGATGATTTCATGGGAGAAGAAAATATTGGAACTTCCTTTTGTATTTGTCATTATATTTTAAAAGTTTTATTATTATATGTGCTCAAATATATATATATATATATATAGTAATAAATGCATATGTTTTAAATAAATAAATGTGTATTAAATAGTGCTCAAAATGTTTTATTGATTAAAGAAGCCAATCAGAAAAGCTTATAGACAATTATGTTTATGTATCAGGGTCTTTCCTGCTTCAAGATCTCTGCTTCTCATCCCTGCTTTTAGAACCTCCCTTGATTGTTCCCCCCTACTTTCTCTTGCTAACTTTCAGTCAAGCTCTAGGGAAAGTGTTAAAGAAATTCTCTGACTTCTGGACCAGGGGTCTATCACTTTGTTTTATGTGCCTGTCTCACCAGCCCTTTGCCTCAAGCCTGTGGCTATCTTCCATCCAACACTCCAGATTCATGCTTCATCCTGCCTTCTGACCCAGATTGCATTGTCGTCTTAGTCACCTGGCTTCTGGCTGAACTTGTTCTCTAGGGAGCTCTTGCAAGGGAAGAGAGAGAGGTCCTACTCTCTGTTCACACACCTCCTTAGTGTAAGAGTGACCCAGGCCAGCTGTCAGGCTGTCTAATGTCTCAGCTTCTTTCAAGGCAACCTTTCCCTGTACTGAACAACACTGTTTCTAGTTTCTAATACTGCTTCTCCCCTTTGTCCTCTTGGTCTTATGACATATTTTGCTTGATTTAATCTAGGTTTATAATTTGAATTAGTTGCTGATACTTAATCAGTAGATGCTTTGGGTCCGGGATTTATCTCAGTGGTGCCACACCTGCCTTGCAAACACAAGGTCCTAAATTCAATCCCCAGTACCAAAAAAAGAAATCCTATCTGGGTTGGAATAGCCACTGCCGACACAACTGTCCTGCTCTCAGCTTGGCTGCTTTTCCACGTACCTCCCTCTCTGAAGTCAGCCTATTCTTTCTACAGTGGGCGTCAGAATGTATCTCTCTCCTTTCAAACCTTAGGTTTTCCTGTCAGTGTAGAGATAAAGGCAGCATTTGCTAAAACAACCTCCAGGACTCCGGGCCAGGCTGACACAGGGCCACTCTCCGTCATTCTCCATGCCTCCAGCTCAGCAGGCCCCTGTCAGATCCTCAGGGGGTCGTGTCTCACCAGGCTGGCACACACGCCACTCCCATGGCTTTCTCCTCTCTCCTCCTGGTCACAACTTAAATATCCTAGCCTAGGGAGGCCCTTTTGTTCTTTATCTGTATCCCTTTCTCATGTATGTTGCACGTCAGAGGGTTTTTTTCAAAGTCTTTCTCTCTCACTGCATTATGAGAATGATGTTTGTCTTTCTCACTATTGAGAACATAGTAAGTACTCACTGGACGTGTGTTGTAAGAGGAGATTTGGAAACCGAGTTCTTTACAGAGTAGCAGTTCTACTACTGAGCAACAGTTTTGCATGCCTTCTATAATTATAAACCTAGACTGTCTTCTGTGCTTATACATGTATGGTTAAGGCATGGCTGTAATACGATTTCACACAAGTGTGGTAATGAACAAACCCAGGCCACTGAATTGGAGGAGGCACTTATTCTCACAATTCTCTTTCCTTGTGCTGCAAGGGAATCCTTCACTAAGAATCATCCAAATGAGGACAGGAGGGGAAGGTGGGGAGGGGATGGGGGAGGGGGAGGGGGAGGAAAGGGAAGATTGGGATTGTGCTAAAGGGAGGTTTGTGACCATAGTCTAACTCTTGAATACTCAGGAGGTACAGAACTGTGTGTAGTTGCTGCAGGAGGTAAGGGGCAGCAAGTTGTGTGATAGGTTCTGGGATGGAAATCTGAGTCCATGACAGGGGAACTAAGAAGGCTTTTCTACAGGGAATATTCGAGATTGAAGGGTGGAATTCTTTACTTTGGTCCTTATAATAACAGCTCACCTAACAGGCGAAACCAAACCAGGAGCTTCCATTCCGATAAACAGCTGAAGAAAATCCTAATCCTAAACACTGAAAAGTTAATCAGGGAGAAAGAATGTCCCAAGGATGGACACTAGAGGTCTATTTGCTGGTGCAGACTGCCAGCTGAGATTCTGCGCTCTTACCACCAGAAGCCTGAAGGGCCTCCCACCCCTCTTCCCTCTCCCTCCCTCCTTCTCTCTCTCCCTCCCTCCCCTCTTCTCCCTCCTCCCTCTTTCCCTCTTTCTCTCCCTCTCCCTCTGCTGGGTATTGAACCCAGGGCCTTGTGCATGCTAAACCAGCACTCTACCACTGGGCCACATCCTCAATCTGGCTTTCTTTAATATGTCAATAACATTTCTATTTTGATCTACTGGCATGTATTTTCACGCCAACCACTATGCCAATGTTGTTCAAAGCCACTGTTTAACAAGTAGGTCAAACAGACCCTCTGTAATCCTGTTTGGTTCACTGTTTGGTTCACTTGCCTAACAACTTTATTTTTCCTTTTTGTGTGTGTGTGTGTGCGTGTGTGTGTGTGTGTGTGTGTGATACCAGTGATCGAACTCAGAACCTTACACTTGTGAGGCAGGCACGGCACTACTAAGCTAAATCCCCCGCCCTCTTTTCTTTTTGCCAGGGATTTAGCTCAGTGGTTCCGGCACCTGCCTCGCAAGCCCAAGGACCTGAGTTTGATCCCAGGTACCAAAAAAAAAAAAAAAAAAAAAAAAAAATTGGAATCTTGGAATCTTTTCTTTTCTTTTTGTATTGAGGACCAAACTCAGGACCTTGTGCTTGTGAGGCAGGTGGTGGAACCACTAAGAGAAATCCCCAGCCTCCTATTTTTCTTTTCTAATAAGTCTTGCTTAATTTGAGACAAAAAAATGTATGATGTTTTGTTATGGAGTCAAGATTCATTCATTTTTCTGACAGTAACTACTTTCATTACACAATCAGTGTATATTATAGAAAATGAAAAAGTACCAATAAGCAAAACAAAATTTAAAGGAAAGCCATTTATGGCTCCCCAATTAGAGAATAACTCTTGTAAACATGCTTATAAATATCCTGTGAGATTTTCCTATACACACATATATTTTTTCTCACTAGTATATTTATCATCTTTTCATACCAATGAATAAAGATCAACATCATTACTTTTGGTGTGCCATTATATCGGTGAACTGTAGTTCAGCCACCTTTTTTGGCTACTTAAGCCATTCCCAGTATCCCAGTGGTCTTCCCACACATGCATCTTTTATGTGCCATATTGCTTCTTTAAGATTAATTGATAAGGTGAAATAAATGGCTTCCTTAAAGTGTATGGCCATCTTTAAGGGTTTTAATACATAACACCAAAGTGCAGTCCAGAACTACTGCAGCCATTAATCCTCCCATCGGCAGCACAGTGCTGGTCTGACTTCTTCATGCCTTCACCAGCATTCTGCAGCACAGAGTACTGCTCTGCCAGCCACTGTGCACACCAGGCACTGACAAAGTTAAGTGAAACATAGTCCATGTGGGAAGGGGGGTCAGATGAGGAGTCAACATTTATAGGCCAGCGTGTTGAGATCATAGTATATGGGAGATCAGAATACTCAGAACTTGGACATCATGATCATCCTAGAACTGGCGGCATAGAAGACTTCCTGGGATAGGCTAATTTTGAATCTAAACTTGAAGGATCCATCTGGAATTAAAAGACAGAAGAGGAGTGATAGAATGATGCAGATAAAGAAAAGGCCCCAGATATGAGTGTCTGTTGTTTCAGGGATACAACAAGCAGTTCCCTAATAGTTGGACTAAAGGATATGTGGGACGTTGAGGATGGTGGACAGGAATTATGGACAACAAGGCTGAAGAGATAGGTCAGGTCTGATCAAGAAAGACTCTCAGAACTGAAAAAAAGAAATCTTTATTTGGAAAACCAGATAAAGATAACAATTGAACAGTCCTTTGGGAGGCAGGATTGGTACCAAGATCCACACTGGTCCAAGAGAAGAGCACTGATAATCATCTTGAGACTTGCTTTGTTATTCCCATTGATGGGTTCTGTGGACTTGGGAACCACCACTCAACCTCTTTGGTGAAATAAAGGAGCTTCAACATTGTGTGCAGTTCTCACAACAGACATATGTGGTGGTTGTCAGGATCCCACATTACAAAGAGCCTGACTTTCGTATGTCAGAGGTGGTACAGTAAACATAAAATTGATGAAGCTGCCAGACTCCAAAGCCTGAATTTTTTTCTAGTGCTAAAAGCATATAAACTCTTTGACTTTTTTTTTTTCCAGAAAAAGTTGCCATTAAGATCCTGGACAAGACCAAGTTAGACCAGAAAACCCAAAGGCTACTATCCCGTGAAATCTCCAGCATGGAAAAACTACACCATCCCAACATTATCCGCCTTTATGAAGTTGTAGAGACACTGTCCAAGCTCCACTTGGTGATGGAGTATGCAGTGGGTGGGGAGCTCTTCGGGAAAATTAACACTGAAGGGAAGCTCTCCGAACCAGAAAGCAAGCTCATCTTCTCCCAGATTGTGTCAGCTGTGAAGCACATGGTGAGCAGGGGTGAGGAAGGAGTCTTACTGTCATTCCATCCACATTGGGAACGTGAGGATTTGGTTTACCTTCACATAAGCACCTCACGGGGCTTTGGTGCTGTGGGGGCACATAGTAAGCAGTCCGCTGGTCAGAAGTCTGGCTGGGACGATGGTCTTTGCCCCTGAAGCAACATCGAGGAATCTCCAGTTACATGGGAGCCTCCTGGGTTGTCTAGAAGTTGCCAGAGATCACTTAGAGCAGCCAGATGAACGCCATCTACTCACTGGCTATCCTGTTTGTCCAACCTCACGTTCTACCCTTCAGGTAGTTGGCTCCTCACTGTTTCTTAGCCTTGCCTTCCTAACTCTATATAGGATGCTCTTTCCCTCAAAACGTCTCATTTCAAATCCTATTCATACTTCATAACCAGTCAGTTCTCTCTCTCTCTCTGAAACTTGTCAGTCTTGTGTTAGCCCACACTGAATTTTCTTGCCTTCAGTGAGGTCTCCTCTTACTGCCTCTGTGCCCTGCACGTTAGCACTTGATTATGTCATTCCTATTGTAGTCTTCTGATTAGCTCCTTAGATAAATTTGGATTCCTAAGGCACACTCCCTAGTTTTTCCATGAGAAACTAATTTCTGAGTCTAAACATGTGGAACAGACTCCAAAACTCATCCCACAAAAGAACCTAACCTTCTGTTTGTTAGGTGGGGTGGGTGTTACATCGTGCTAAAAGGTTATTACAAGGTTTCCTAATTCATTTAAATTGTTGTCTATTGAATTTCTATTTCACCACTATGTAGTCACTGTTTCAGAGCAACTGATACATTTTATGTTTGGTACTTTACTTTGAAACTGATTTTCCCTGTCTTCTTCCACAGCATGAAAACCAAATTATTCACAGGGATCTGAAAGCAGAAAATGTATTCTATACCAGTAGTACTTGTGTGAAGGTGGGTGATTTTGGATTCAGCACAGTGAGTAAGAAAGGTGAAATGCTAAACACCTTCTGTGGGTCTCCTCCCTATGCTGCACCTGAGCTGTTCCGGGATGAGCACTATGTTGGCATTTATGTGGACATCTGGGCCTTGGGGGTGCTTTTGTATTTCATGGTGACTGGCACGATGCCATTTCGGGCAGAGACTGTGACCAAGCTAAAGAAGAGCATCCTTGAGGGCACCTACAGTGTGCCCCCCCACGTGTCCGAACCCTGCCACCGGCTCATCCGAGGAGTCCTGCAGCCCATCCCCACGGAGAGGTATGCAATCGACTACATCATGAACAATGAATGGATGCAAGGGGTGCCATATCCCACCCCCTTGGAACCTTTCCAGTTGGATCCCAAACATTTGTCAGAAACCAGCACCCTCAGAGAAGAAGAAAATGAGGTGAAAAGCACTTTAGAACATTTAGGTATTACAGAAGAGCATATTAGAAATAACCAAGGGAGAGACGCTCGAAGCTCAATTACAGGGGTTTATAGGATCATTTTACATAGAGTGCAAAGGAAAAGGGCATTGGAAAGTGTTCCAATAATGATATTACCAGACCCCAAAGAAAGAGACCTAAAGAAAGGGTCCCGAGTCTACAAAGGCATAAGGCATACATCTAAATTTTGTTCAATTTTATAAATTATGCTGGACTCCCATTAGTTAACCAAGATCATTGTTGCTGCTTTTAAATTTTTTCATGGACAACTTGGAGACGTTTTTGTAATTTTAAATAAATTTAAATTTGAGATACATATTTTTCTCCAGAAAATCTATTAGTCCAAATTTTGGGTTGCTTTGGGTTCTTGTCTTATTCTCAAACTCCAGCATTCATTCATTTAGTAAAAAAATATTTATTCAGCCGTGTGTGGTGGCACACTCCCAGCACTCGGGAGGCTGAGGCAGGAGGATCACTGTGAGTTCGAGACCAGGCTGGGCTACATAGTGAATTCTAGGTCAGTCTCAACTATGCAGTGAGACCCTGTTTCAAAAAAAACAACAAAAAAAATATTTATTCAGTGCCCACTATGTGCCAGGTATCCCATAAGGTCCTGAGGAAACAGCAAAGAATAAAACAGGCTGGTGTGTTCTAGTATAGGATCAAGACACTAACAACTGTCTCTACATATGATCCTAGTACAGGATGTGCATGATACTAATTCAAATATAGTAATCTGAAATTAGCCTACTACTTTGGATCAGTTCTTTAAGGAAGACCACTTGTACAGATGAGAGTATAAGAGCTGAAGAAGAAGCAGAGTAACTTTTGAAAAGTGTCACGAACCTTCTAGGCAGGTAGAGGTTTTAGACAGAGCCTAAGACAAAGGCTTCCATGTGTAGTAGTTTATTAGGGAAATGCAGAGCCCAGGTGTGAGGAACAAGGGAAATAGTATATTACCAAGTTAGCCAGTATACAGGGACCGCTGTTCAGTCCTGCATGGTCCTCTGAGAAGCCTTATGCAACAGACCTCAGTTGTTTTCCTGGAGTATGAAAGGGAAAGGCATTTAGCCATCAGCTCCTGTCTATCAGTCAAGGGTAACTGATGGTGCCACCTGTGCCACATCCCAAGGTTATGCTGTGTGAGTGCCAAGTGAGCTTCCTATGCTGCTTCTGCCTTTGTGTCAGAGAACCCTTGGAGTAGGAAGGAAAAAGTACACAGCACTGGTCTGAGACAACGTATGGTCAAACAGGACCTGCACGAAGCTGTCTAAACTTGCATGGACATGGTCACTGCACCAGTGTCTGGCAGAAGCATGGCAGGAGGACCTAAAGTGACACTCAGCTGTCTGACGCAGAACACCCCTTCCCCACACATGCTCCACTCAGATCACCCCACTAAGTGCACTCTTTTGAGGGGGTAGGGCTTGGAAGAACGAAAGCTGTAGGTTAGGGGAAGGCACGGGGGTCCAGAAAGCTCTAGTACACAGAATTATCTAGAGAGCTTGTAAGTCGCAGACTCAAGTTTTTATTCTGTACCTCTGGGGTGTAGGCAAGAATCTGTATTTCTAGTAAGTTCCTAGGCCGTGCCGGTGCTGCTGCTTGGGGGCCAGGATTTGAAACCCACTGAGCTTCAGTCATTACTGCAGCTTATCCCGAGGCTACACTTGGACAGCTATCTCATTCCTTCGCCACCATTCTAAATTTCCCTCCCCTTTGTCCAGCATTTCACCTGGTATAGATTGGGTAGCGTGATTCAGAGTTTCATCACCAAAGAGCTGAGTCCTTAGCTGCCTTGTCCTTGTCCAGCTGTAATCACTGCCATTGCCTGTTCACTACTGCCACGCAGCTCAAAAGCAACACAACAATGAAACTCTTGAGTTCCAGACATCCCTCTTTAGCTCCTAAGTTATTAGGGTCAATAATCTCCACCAGCATAATGCTTTTTTTTTTTTTTTTTTT